TACAACTAAGAAATTCATGTGATGACTCATTATACATCAACCAATTGTTTCATGATAAAAGATGATATCGTAAATTTACAACATATGATCCTCACCCTTAAAGTTGTATAACAATGCCACATATTTTCTGTTGCCACTTGCCAGATTTCAATTAAGCTTAGTCTTGGACATGCAAGGACTCATTTAAAAAAACAAATCAGCTTAAGAAAGCAAAAACACTCACATTCACCAAGGAAAGAGCAAGAGGGAAAGTAAGAGCATCCACAAAACCATGGTTTTAAAAACCGGACCGGTCCGGTTTGAGCTATAGAAACGCCTTGGCATAAAACTGGATCTACACCGTCTAAACCGGTTAAAAACCGGTCCCGGTTTCACGGCCCAATCGGGTCAGGTTATAAACTTGAAAGAAGAAGCCAAAGTCATCACTTAAATAGAACAAAGATTTTCATTGTGCTTTCTATGTGGGATACAACTAATAGTGCTCCTCTTTCCTTTGCCTCTGAGTTTGGACTTGGGCTTATAAGTATTATTTGGGCTTGGACCTGTAAATATACTTTGGAGTTGGACTAATTAGTAATGTTTTTGGTCCAATGAATGATGATCCTATTTAATAGGCAAAGCAAAAGGAATAAACAAACAATTAAATAAAAAAAAAAAAAAAAAGTAAAAATAAAAAGCATGGGTTAATGGTGAGATGCATTACTGATGTGGAAAGAGGCATCCAATATGGGCAAAAATTATGTTCTTTTCTCTCAATTGTATTTCTATTTTGCTATGGTGTTTTATCATATAAATTTAAATACAATACTTTTATTTATGGTGTTTTTAAAATTTATCATGTATGTATAAAAATATAAATAATTATATATTACACATATAAATTAAATAATAAATTATATATTAATTAAACCGGTTCAACCACTGATCCGACCAGTAAACCATTGAACCGGTAGCTTCACCGGTTCGATGACCGGTTCGATTTTCAAAACCTTGCACAAAACAATGATTCAAAGGATGCTTCAAAAGTCATAGAGCATCAACCAAGAAATATTAAGTTATCCTAGGTGGGTTGGGCGGAAATGGCCAGACAAAATTCAAAGTAGGTAACGATGGTAACGATCTTATATAGAAACAATGGACCACGGTTTGGTTTTCTCCATGGTTTTTGCGAAATTTATGTAAGTTTGAGCATGCCATATGCAGAAACAGATTGGAATATAGCATTGACTTTTTTTAGAACAAAATAGTGGCACAACAGCATTATAGAAGAAACTATACCGTGAAACAATAGTGCAACAGAATTTTATAGATAAGTTAGTTAAATAATACCATAATCCGCCACTGTGACAGGACTTTTATCAGATTTTGAATGGACATCAGATTGCAACAAAGCCTTCTGAACCTTCTGTGGAACAGGAAACATATATCTTAGTCAAAAAGTGGCACTTTATGAAGGATCAGCTCATTGAGCTGCCACCTTTGACATAAATACAATCATAATCTCTTAATTGAATTAAGGAAATTGGTATAAGAAGTATATGAATGCGATTAAATAACACACACACATTATCAAGAAACATTCTAAATTTTGTAAATAGTTAATAGCTGCGTTTTCTTGAGCTAACCACATCTACATATTCCAAACATACACAAAATATACTGGTCCGCAATCCATAAACCTCAAAATCTGCCAGTTCATTGGCTAATCAACTCCATAAGAAGTCATTCTTTAAATCTGCCCTTCATATGGGTAATCCACAAAAGGATCGCCACCATATCATATAGCAGCATTACAGATGACCAATCGAAGGAATATAAGTTCACAAAAACCAGGCATCGAACCAAAAGATGAAATGACCTGACATAAGCGAGAAGCGAGAGATGCAGCTTTCTTGGCGGCGGCTAATTGACTATCGTAAGACATTGATGCAAATGTTCCTCTTCTACTTGGTACTCGGGCAGTAGAGAGTGATAGAGAGAAGAGAAATTGAGAATTCAAATTGCTTTTGGAATGGGGAATCTGGATTGAGGTAGAAGAATTTATACTCAGCGATAAAAGTCGTCGCGTGAATTTGGGTGCAACCGTATGCCCAATTGTGACACTCATCTCCAGCTACCGTCTCTTTTCAGTCGGCTCAGACTCAGAGGGGCCGTAATACTAGTACTAGTGATAATAGGGCAACATTATTATTATTATTATTATTATTATTAGACTATAGGAATCTCATTCAACAAAAGAGAATTAGAGCATCTTTAGCCATAAACCTCCGTAAAATTCTTTTTACATTTTTCAATATGCCACGTCATTCAAAATCTCAATCTTACTCCTACACCTATAAACTTCCAATAACAATAAGGAAAATGTTACAAGTATATGATAAATGTGCATAAAGGTGTACATAATAGTCACATGGAGTGGGAGTACATTTGATTTTTTATTTGAAAAATGTTACAAGTACATAATAAATATAAATAGATGTGTACATAACACTCACATGTAGTGAAGTCCACTTGAATTTGTACATAACACTCACATGGAGTGTGGTCCACTTAATTTTTTATTTTTTGTAGGTCCCACTCAATGTGAGTATTATGTACACCCTTATGTACAATATTATATTATGTACATATAGTATTTTCCTTTTAATTTTTGGTAGGTCACACTCAATGTGAGTGTTATGTATACTCATATGTACAATATTATGTACCTATAACATTTCTCTTTTTATTTTTGGTAGGTCCCACACAATGCGAGTGTTAATGTACACTGTTATGTACAATATTATGTACCTATATCATTTCTCTAACAATAAATCTCATAAACCTCCTTTCTATGGATCCCACATGTTTTTTCTTATTTTTAATTAATATTATACCCTTATATTTTTATTAATATTTTAAAATTATAACTCCACTAATTAGTTGTATTTCATGATATATAAAGTACATAAGTATAAAACTTTATACAAAAAAATTTCATATTTATTAACTAGTTATATTTATAATTAATATTAATATTTATTATTTTAGAAATAATTTCAAACTTCATGAACCAGAATTAGAATTTCATATCAACCAAGTAAATAAAAATGCAAAACAAAACCATATAGATTAAGTAAAAAGAAAAAGGAGGAACAAAACACAAGCCAAAATCTATATATATTGAAAAAGAGAGGTAGAAAAATCATTTAGGGAAACTTTAAGAAAATTGGTCAAAAAAGGTTTTGACTTCCCATTTGTGGAAAGTCTTTTAAAAATCACAAAAATAATACACTTTATCTTGATTTTCTTTTTGTTTTAAATCGTATCTAATATCACGTGTTTGGTGTAAAGTCATTTAAAATCATACCTAATATCACGGCATTTAGTTTAGTAATTATCCTAAAAATTCATTCCAAAAAATGAAAGTTGGACGGATGAGATAACAATGCATAAAAGTAGGCACGTAGAATCGGATGAGATAACAATGCATTTTGATTTTTAGTATAAGTTGTTTGTAATTATCCTAACAATGCATATAGTTTCGTAATTATCCTAACAAATTCATTCAAAAAAATAGATGAGATAAACATCTATACATATACACCGTGTATAAAAGGGTATTCATTGATACCTTTTTTCATTCATCTCATCAAAACACAGACGACTTCAAAATACAAAAAACACAGAAAATATTATGGCACCCTTCTTTAATACAATCGACGCCGTCAACAGATCCAACAAACCTTTTTTGAAGTTGAGAGTACTCCTACTGATGGAAACTCATGACGTAGTCCTACTGATGGAAACTCATGACGATCTGGAGCATCTAAACGCTTTTCACATCCTGTTTCATGATGAAGTGGTAATTATTCTAATTGATTTGTCAATAAAATAATTATTCATAACTAATATCATGTTTCATATCATGTTTAATTGTTTTTTGTCAGTTTTTTTGATAATTAACAAATCTAGGGTTCATACATCACTGGAATAGTACGCTCGCCAAGTATGGAAAAATTTCGAAATGTACTCAAACAAGACGAAGTGTATACAATCCGAGGGTATAATGTTGAATATAAACCAAGGAGGAACAATGCCCTTTTAACCAACCATTGGAAGCTTGTGCTTAATGGAGCGACTGATGTATTTAGCTACAATGGGAATTTTCCTAAATACTAGCGAGATGCAAGATATGGTCGCGGGATGGCTTTCTTAGGAATTTTTATAATTTGAATTTGAATAGATAATTTGTTGAATATTGGTAATAATTTTATTTCATGTCGTTTTGATCGATTGTGGATGCTTATTATAATTTGTCGGAAAAAAAATAATTTATTACTTCATTTACTATTCGATTTTTTTCGTATATCCGTTTTTGTTGTTTATTGTTTTATTTGTGTTATGTGCTTGAACATTGTGGGCAAATTTTAATAATTTACAATTTCAATTTATTGAATTTATTTTTTTATTTTTTATTCGATTAAATCATTACATGCTTGAACAATGTTCAATCACATTTTTGTTTNAATGTAGAAAAAGTTGTTTATCCTACAAACAAAAAAGGGAAATCTTTAAAATATATTAAATTATAATGATTAAATTATAATATTAGATAATCTATATATATTTAAAGAGAGGTAAAAAAATCAATTGTGGAAACTTCATAAAAAAATCTCAGCCAACTCATTTGACTTACTAATTATGGCAGTTGTTTAAAAAATTCTAAATTCTTTTTGTTTACAAAATTATGTTCATTTTAATTATTTAATATCTATAGATTCGTATTGAGATGGAGCAAGAAATCAGCATCTGATATTTTAATTGACTTTCAATACCCATGTTTTAAGGAATTAATTTCAATTCATTTTAAATTGACTTACACATATGTGTTAAGAATTTGTTTTAGAATTTCAATTCATTTTTATTTGAGAGTTTAGTTAAAAAATAACACTAACATTTAAAAGTTTGGTTTATAAAGGAATCTGCCATTTTATTTTTCATTTGAAAATTATTTGTATAATTAGTCTAGATATTTTTCTTGCCAAAACGTTTTGTGTGTCTAATTTAATTATCTTTCTAATTTAGAATCAATTAAAAAATCATATTTCATTATTGTACATCTTTCACAACAATGCTTTTGATATTATGTGACTAATTAAAAAAAAATCACCATTCAAATTTACCCACAAATGACTTGAAAGTTAAACAAACATATATAGATAAAAAAATTCACCATTCAAATCACCTACAAACAAATTGAATGTTAAATTAAAATATACAAATAAATATAAATAACCAGATGAATAAATGATACATATAACTCTACATCAATCATATGAATTGTTTCGTATTTTGGTAGACAGAAACACATCTAAATTAAAAGAAATCACAACTTTCAATATCACATGCCAACCGATTCTCCTCAATCAGATAATAAGAGGACCATATATTGTTACGTGTTTCCTATGCCAACCGATTTTCCTCAATCAGATAAAAAGTTGTTACCTCATCTTTAGGAAACATGCTGTTTTAACATGGAATTATCATTTTATATCTTTTTATTTTTGGTAAAAGATATCGGAGTTGTGGTCAATATTTTTTTTTTTTGCAAAACAGTTTGATGGATAGATACATGCATAAATCGGAATACATTTAAAAAAAACGCCGAGTAATTTGTATCCTATTTTTGATGGACAGATATAGGCTTAAAATAAAATAAAAAATGATGTATAAAAGAATTCTAATATCACATGCCAAACGAATTTGATAGAAGATTTTTTTAAAACTTGCAAAATTCTGTTACGAGCCGTTTATAAAAAGGTGATTTGATTAATATAATATTTTTATGTAAAATAAAAATTTCACGAATTTTTTTACATATTTTAAATTTTCAAATCTTTTGTACTCAACTTTTAAAATAATTCGTCATAATTTCTCACATCATGTCAATATTTATTTTATATACCCTACGTAAATCAGCATCTCAATATTTATTTTATATATTCTATGTAATTCTTCTCATCTATCTCAAACATCCGCAGGTAGTATTTCATACATTTCTATTGATAATCAAATATATCAAAGCTTCACAAGAAAGTGTTCAATAATTTATATTTTTTTTAACTTCTTTGCGATCCATTTATTTTTTTTATATATATATATATATTAATTTTAGTATTTCACACGTTAAACATTTCAAGAAAATATATCATCTCGTGCATCGCACGGGTTACGCGCTAGTTAACAAGAAATATATGAGATGGGAAAATGTGGGGCACATTGTGGGAAAAGAGGTGGGCAGCAGTGCCTCACTTGGTTTTTGGCGTTTGTAACACACGGCCACATTTTTTATGCTGAAGATTTAATGAGTGCAATCACTCTCCTTTTTCAATAATATTGTTTCTTTTTCTTTTTAAAAAAAAAGAGATGTTTAAAGCAGGTTTATACTGTCAAACATGAATAAATTTTCTAAACCTCAAACCTTGCATTATACTGAGGTTTGTAAACCTCATCAAAACCTTCCGTTAAAGGTGTCAATAGCATAAACAATACAAAGTCTGGCATCGGATGAGAATGGGATGACCAATCGAATTAGCCTACACCAAAAACAACCTCGGGCAACTAGATAGGTAGTCTAAAGTTGAGCCCTACTAGGCCCAACACAAGTAGCGCAAGCACTCTTTTTTTTTTTTTCAAAGACGATAGAAATCTCATTGAACAAAAATAGTTTACATCAAGAATACATCAGGAACCCATAAAAGTCTAGGATTTAATAATGATCTAGCTAAAAGCCGAAAAATGGGAGAGCCACACGCAGGTGGTCTAGATAAAAAAGCAAAATACTACATGAAACAAAAGAGCAATAGGAAGTAAAGCAGTGAACAACCACCGAGCCTTTACCCCTGAATGACTAAGTTCAAGAAAAATAAAAGACAGCCCATTGATTTAAGATCCTAGCCTGTCCGCTAAAATATGGTTTACTGTTGGTTAGCTAATGGCCTGAATCTCCCTTCTCTTCAAGAAACTATTCCAATCTCTAATAGCTCCTTGAACAATTAGGTGAGCAGGCCGTCGGACTCCCTCAAAAATCCACAAGTTACGTGATTTCCAAAGCCACCATAGTATGTATGTCGATAATTGGATTCGGGCTTCAGAAACATCTGATTTATCTAGATTACATATCTGCCACCACCATAATTTGAATGTTTCTTGATGACCAGGTCCTTCCCAGTTAACAGGAGCCAAATTTCCAGGTGTGTTGAGCTTGTATACAGTGAAAGAGAACATGCTTGACTGTTTCTTGGTCTTCTCCACATACTCTGCAGATGGTGTTAACTTCAAATCCCCTCAATTTCAAGTTGCAGTTAACCGGCAGGGAACCATTACAGCATTTCCATATAAAATGTTTAATTTTCCCCAATATGTTCAATCCCCAACTTCTTTTTCGAACTTTGATATCTCTGGCAAGGTCTGTACTTCCCTGAGCTGTGTCTAACTTAAGGTATTTTTCTGTTATAAATTTAGAGTAGATAGAATGTACAGAAAAAATACCTTTTTTATGAAGAGTCCAAACCCACCTATCTTCTTGTTGAGGGTTAAGAAAGGTTATGGTCAGGATTAAGTCACTTGAATCTGCTGGAAAAGTTCTCCTGACTTTGGCTTCATCCCAGTGGTATCCATCCTCTGACAGTAGATCACAGACCCTGCTAATTCCTCTGTCTATACCTGGTAAGAGCTCAACTGTTCTGTCCACTCTGTTAGGAATCCAGTGAGTATCCCAAATATAAGTATTCTTCCCATTTCTTATTTCCGTTCTCATCCAATTTCCACAATCCTATAAAACAGATAACCATGAGTTCCATAGCCAGGAAGAATTAGGCTTTCTTTGAGCTTCAAAGAGAGAACAATTAGGAAAGTACCTTGATTTCAAAATTCTACTAGCAAGAGTGTTTGGCTCTGTTAGAAGTCTCCATAGTTGCTTAGTGATGAGGGCTTTGTTAAATAGTTGGATATGTCGGAAACCAAGCCCTCCATGCTCCTTAGAGAATGACAGATTACACCAAGCCACCCAAGGGAAACCTTTTTGTTCTTTAGAATCCTTGCTCCACCAGAATTGACAACATGCACTGGATATCTCTTTGCACAAACCTGTAGGCAAAACAAAACTGGACATAGCATAAACTGGTAGTGCCTGCAGAACAGCTTTAATTAGGATTTCTTTGCCCGCAGTAGAGAGCCACTTATTTTTCCAGTTAATGACTTTACTTCTCACCACAGAAAGTATGTATTGAAATGATTCTTTTTTGGATTTTCCAATTCCTAGAGGAAGACCGAGATATTTTGTAGAAGAGTGGGCTTGAATACCATTCATCAAAGAGCAAATATGATTTCTGACCTGCAAGGGTGAGTTCTTACTGAAAAAAATGGTGGATTTTGATAAGTTCACTTCTTGACCTGTGAAATCCTTATAAGCCTGTAGAATATTTAAAATAAGAGCCACCTGCCTCACATCTGCTTTGCAAAATAGTAAAGTATCATCCGCAAACATGAGGTGGGTTAAAAGTGGTCCCTCCCTAGATAATCTGACACCCTTAAAACACCCCTTTTCAGCTTCAGAGTTCAGTTTAGCAGATAGTAGCTCGGATATTATAAGAAATAGGTAAGGGGATAAGGGGTCCCCTTGTCTTATTCCTCTGGTAGCATTAATGTAGCCACAAATACTGCCATTGATATTAACTGAAAATGAAGGGTTTAGAGTACAAGCCATGATCCATTTGACAAATTGAGAATTGAACCCCATTCTAAGCATTGTGAGCTGAATAGCTTTCCATTCCAATTTATCAAATGCCTTGATCATATCAAGTTTCAATGACATAAAGCAATTATAGCCACTTCTGTGCCTGTTGAGAAAATAAAAAGCTTCATGACCAATGATTGCATTATCTATAATATTCCTGCCAGGAAGAAAGGCAGATTGATTTTCTGATATACATACATGGAGACACTGCCTCAGCCTCAAGGCTAGAATTTTAGAGATAATTTTGTAAAAGACAGCACATAGACTAATTAGTCTGAATTGGTGCACAGAGACAGGATTGAGACATTTTGGTACAAGTGTAATCAAGGTATGTTTCCAGTACCTGAGGAGCTGTCCTGATTCAAAGAAGCTGATCACTGCAGAGCACAAATCAGGCTTAATTATAGGCCAGAAGTGTTGATAGAAGAGGCCAGTCATTCCATCCTCACCGGGGGATTTATCTGGGTGAATGCTAAAAAGAGCATTTTTTATCTCACTTTCTTCAACCGGGGTTGTTACTAGGCTATTCATATCTTCAGTAATTTTTGGTTCTAAGAGTGGCAGAAAGAAATGACCATTTTTGGATCCTTGTGAAGTGTATAGCTGCTCAAAATAGTCTGTGATAACTTGCTCAACCTCCCTCTGATTTGTAGTCCATCTATTATCTTCCATAAGCAGTCTTTCAATTCAGTTGATTTTCCTTCTCTGGGCCACATAAGCATGGAAGAGCTTACTGTTGCAATCGCCATCCTTAAACCATAATGCCCGAGCCTTTTGCTGCCAAAAGATTTCTTCAGAGGTATTAGCTTCATCAAGCTCTTTTTTGAGTTTTTCCCAAGCCTCCCAGTTTCTATTGCCCCCTTCTTTCCGCATTTCTTCCAATTTTAATGACAAGTCTGTGATTTTCCTGGACTGATTCAAATTGAGCTCCTTACTCCAAAGCATAAGAGCTACTCTGGCCTTTTTGATTTTTTCCTTAACTGAGTATATAGGTGTGCCTTGGCAGGGAGTATTCCAAGCATTTGTGATCACATCCTTGACTCTATCCTTGAACAGCCACCTTCTGTCGAAGATAAATCTCCTTTTGTGTTTGGCCTTCACCTCAGAGGTATTAATGATCAGCTGGCAATGGTCAGATGCACTTTTGAATTGACTGTGAACAGTAGTGTTAGGAAATTGGTTCCACCATTCCAGTGTAACAAAAACTTTATCCAGTGCTTCCTCCACAAAGACCTCTCCCATCCTGTTATTTGCCAGGTAAATGGCTCTCCTTGTAAAGGAAGTTCAAGCACCCCCATTCTTGCAAGAAAGTTGTTAAAGCCCCAAAAACTGCTGTCTGGTCTTGTTCTGCCTCCTCTCTTGTCTTCTTTCCTACACAAATCGTTCTAATCCCCTGCTAAGAACCATAGGTCACCCCAATCTTCTTTAGCCTGAATGAGTTGATTCCACTGAAGTTCTCTTTCTGCTCTGTTTGGGCTGAGATATACAAAAACTGCCCAGGCAGATACATTAGTAGCTATAATTTTATACTGTACAGCTATGAAAAAGTCATCATTGGTGATTTTTATAATTTCCATTTCCTGTGTCCAAAGCAAAATGAGCCCCCCACAAGAGATTTTGGGCTCCACAAGGAAATGTCTGTTAATAAAGCCTAATTTTTTGCAAACAGAAACAGAGAATTTTTTTTGATTTTTTCACCTCAGAGAAGAAAATTAAACCTGGGTGGTGGAGCCTGATTGCTTCCTTAATTTGGGGAACTGTAGAGGGCCCCCCAGACCTCTACAGTTTCACACCAGAGCTATCATGAGTACTGTGAGGGCTCTTTAAGGTTGGCCCTCTCCACCTTTTTCTGGTCTAGATTTGCCTTCTTCTCTGCTTGCATAGTGTTCACTGGAGGGTTGTTGCCCACCTCCATATCCTCTGATGGTGCCCACCCTCTCTTTTTGGAAGATTCCTCCTCCATATTAGTCTCTTGGTTAGCCCTGTTGATCCTCTCTGCCTTACTGTTGGATCTCTTCCAAGTCTTCTTTCCAGCAATGGATCCAGGTAAGATTCTTTTGGGGGGTTCATGTTGCTGTTGTTGAGGGATATTACTAGCTGTGAGAAAGTTCTCCTCTGTGTTGCTTTTTAGTTGTTGAACCTGGATATGCTTATGCTCATTCTTTTGCTGAATCCCAGGTGGAGAAGGAGTAATAGCTAGCTGGTTTTGGTCCAAGCCCTTAGATGAGGAATCTGATCCCATTTTAGAACAGCCTGAGTCCACCTTCTTAAGTATCATGCCATTAATGGATGGGGTATCATGTCCTCTAGTATCCAGGTCTTCATTATTTGGTGGAGGAGGGGAGTGATCTCTCGGTTGGTCTGATGATATACTAGCTGGGGTCCAATTTTGTCCTTGTAGTCCTGTCAATGCTCTCATCCATTCCCCGAATTGGCCTTCCTTTAGAGTTTTAGCAGAGACATCTTCCATTCTTATTTTGCAGGTTTTTTCATAGTGTCCAACTCTGCCAGATAAATAGCAAATGTTGACTAATCTTTCGTACTTGAATGTTACCGTGGCTGTTTGGTTTCTCAGTCTTATTGTGGTGCAGCGTGGTAACGCTTCTCTTATATCAATCGAGACCAGTAGTTTTATCAGCCTACCTCCTTGATAACCTAAATTACTTACAAGGACATTTGAGACTGATTTGAAGATATTCCCTATTTTGATTCCAACATCCGATGTGAGCCAGTTGAGAGGGACATTATGGACTTGCACCCATAAGTTCAGGAAATTGAAACAATCATCTCTGCTCCGAAGCCCCTCTCTCCAGCCTTTCAAAACAAGGAATTGGTTTTCGAATATCCAGTTGGTTCCCGCAGCCACTTTTTGCATAACTTCTGCATCTTCAAAGATGGATTGAAAAAAATTGTAACTTAATTCACGAACCTCTAAGGGGCCTTTTAGTTTCCAGGTCTGACTCATACCTTTCCTCACCCCTGGTAGATGTGCCTTTTTTTCACCTATTATTTTCCCAAAGAGGCTTTTGTGGCACTCGACATTGCTAGCTTTGACATCATCTGAACCCAGATCAATGACCGCATTTTCCACCGATGATAAGGAAAAGGCTCGCAGTCGTTGCTCCACCTCTTCCGTGACATTGCAGGGATTGGGGTTAGCCATAGGGTTGATGCTGCAGGAAATAGGTAGGTACAAGGTTTGGGAAAGCGAATTCAAAGAAGAAATGGCCTGAACAGTAGTTTTAATACTCTCCGATGAGAGAAGAACTCTCCAGTGAGAGAAGAAACCCTCCTAGTGAGAGAAGACTTTTTTGTGGCCCAGCGCAAGCACTCGAAAATAAAATAAGGAAAAAACAACAACAAAAACACAAAAGTATACTTAATGGAGATGAGGAGAAGCATGATATTTTGGATGTATATAATTATTTATTCTTTTAATTTATTGTTAATATTTTAATTCGAGAGTGTTAGTAAAGTTATTTAATTATTCTAGTTTTTTATTTGATAGGAAAGATATTTAATTATCCTTTTTTGTTAGACAAATTAATTATTTACGGCTTTAGGAGTTCTATTTAAAGGCTCTTCTCCTATTGTTTTAGGTCGTCAAGTTAATGAACTAAAATATTGTTTTGAGATTTTCTCTCTTGTTTTCCCTTTCATACGCTTTTGCAACATCAGTTGGTATCAGAGACCAGTACGTTCCAGATGCCGCCAAGGAGAGCCAAAACAGCCGACGAGCAGCGTGACGCCACCTTCGAATCCATAAGCCGGCAAGTCGCGAATATCGACGTGGGATTTACAAATGTCCATGGCGATCGATTGAACCGTACCCGTGACGGACGACGCGGTAGTATGCATATGGGTCGCGGTCCGGGCAGGGGCCCCTAGTCGCCTCACTCGTAGGTCGAAGACGGTGACAATGAGGACAACTTCTCCTAGGTTAGTCCTTTCGTCATCAGGCTCAGGATGACGACTATCAGGACAACGATCGTCGGTGGGAGTCGTCTTTTCACGTCGACATTCTGGATTTCACCGACGGCTTGGATGCATCAGAGTTTTTGGATTGTATGGCTACGGTCAAGACCGTCCTCGATTATTCAGGGGGCCTGTGCAAATGAATAGGGGTTGACCACATATGATCGAATATACAAGTCCGCCGATTTTTTATGAAGAGGGTCCAACCCTGTTTGATGCAAGGATCGACCGAGTCAGTGGGTCTGTCTGTTTGATAAGCATGTGTCGACCGAGAATGAGGGTCCGTCTGGATTTTATCACGAGGAAGTGAAAGCTGAAACGGGAGATGTGATTGGTGATGGGTCCACGATTATGCTCATGGCATCTAAGGATCTCCACCAAAGGAATGGCTTCATTAAACTCATCCACTTAACTTCCATCTAGAATTCTGAAGTTCGGCCGTTGGTCGAGCAAACTCCTGAAGGCCTCCAAAAAGTTGCTTCCAGAAATACCACTTTGGATAAAATCTAGATTATGATCGACTTGCTTGGTTAAACAAATTCGTGGAGTATATGTGGCCTTATGCCAGATGACAAAGCAAATAGTACAACCCATTATAGCCGAGCAAATTCCAACATACAAACTCGATTCAATAGAATTTGAAGAACTCAATTTTGGAAGCATGTTGCCTACTTTTCAAGAAATAAATATTATTTCGGTGAAGATAAGATTGTGCTGGATTCGAGGGCCGATCCTTTTCCAGAGGGGAAAAATGATAGAGATGAGGATTAGCATGATATTTGGGATGTTTAATTTCATTATTTATTGTTATTATTTCAATTCGAGATTTGATAGTAAAGTTATTTAATTATTCTAGTATTTTATTTGGTATGAAAGATATTAATTATCATTTTCTTGTTAGACAAGCTAATTATTCAGGGCTTTTAGGAGTTCTATTTAAAGGTTCATCTCCTATTGTTTTAGGTGGTCAAGTTTGTGAATTAAAATAATGTCTTGAGATTTTATCTCTTGTTTTCCTTTTCGTACACTTTTGCTACGTCACCGAAACTGAAACACGAAATCAAAAAAGGCTCCCAGCAGATGAAGAAGACAAATACTCCTTCCACTCTTGAACTGTTCCTCTAACTATGGCTACTCCAGGCATCTAACCCAAAGATCATCTGCGTGACGTATAGTGTTACAAAAATAAAACTCCCTCATAAACCTACCACAACTATACCTGAAATTACTAAGGGCGATTGGATGCGAAAAAAATCGGTTAAACCGGTCAAGTCACATGGGTTGATTGGATATGGATTTGCTGATTTTTTGAGTAACTCTTTTGGTAGTTGGGACTTAAAAATAACACTAACCCACTTTGAGAAAATTTGCTTTCACCGTACAGACCATTTAAATTTGTCCCCTCCATCCATTTAAAAAAACAAAAACAAAAGAAAAAATGACGAATTAACAAAAAGAAGGGAAGAAATTCCTTCATAAATTCACATAGCTCATGTCGGAAGTCATGGAAGGCGAGGCTTCTTCTCCGGTGAGGAAATCCGTATCCATCCAAACTCCGGTGCCGGTTGAAGACCCTCAAGTAAGCACGGTGTCATACAAGATCACCTCTCCTGATTAAAAAAATGCCAGTGGCAGAGTTCTATTCGCCAAATGAGAGGAGACTAGCAAAGGTCAGTTGCTGTGAATTGCATTTGCTCGATGAAACCCCACTCAATCTCTTTTTTTTTTTTGTTGTTGATAAATAAGGGGGATGGGAAAAACATTGTCCTGTAGCCGGTCAACTTTGACCCATTTTAATTGCAAGTGGGCTATGTTTGTCGGGCCTACTGACAGATTTCAGACAGAGACCAACGTGATTTGGATATGAGTTCAAGATATTGACCCAAAATGACTCAAAGTAATGCAAAGAATCGGTTAAATTTTTTGAATCATGACTAAACTCATATCCAAAGACTTTTGAGTCATATTCAGATCCCTCTTAGCTTATATTCAAAGACTTTTGAATCATATTCAGATCCCTCTTAAGTATCCAAAGAGTTTATGAGTAAAGAACAAAAATAGTTTTTTAGTGATGTAAGAACACAAAACTGAATCGCTGAAAAACTAAACTAAGAAAAATATAAAACAAAACTCACGAACTCTCAGAGACACTTTTGAACATGAAACTCAATACTAAAATTAATTGCAGCAACCAAGTCTCTGAGTCTTCATGAATGCATATATACAAACTCCAAGATCGTAAGGATCTTTCACATTGCCATGTCTTCGACGTCCTTTCAAGTGGAGTAGATTTCCTTGGTTCAACTTCCTCACTTCAAGATCTTCAGAATCTTTGGTCCATAATTGTGTAGGAACATTCTTTCTCAGTCCACTTGGATTCTTATTGTTGTCCAAGATCTTCATGACACCATATCTTGGACTCAATCTTCTTCATTAAACATGACCGACTCTTTATCCCTTTAAGTACACGAAATGTCCTTTTCCTACAAGAAATAGAAAACATGTTATAATAATATATCTATCAAACATGGTAAGGTAAGAAAATATAATTGATATTCTAGTAGATACTATTATCTAATACTTACTATAATAAATAACTATAGTATCTAATGTATAAAGAACTTAAACAAATGCAAGAGAAAGAAAGTGAAAATCTTTCCTTTTAATTTGTTTTTCGTGCCTAGCAAGAAAATCATCAAGATTTGTCAAGTTGTCGAACCATTTCCAAATTTATATTTTACAATCTCTGCCTTTGGCATTCAGTTCGAAAACCAATATCTTGAAGATGATCTGCAAAACAAATTCAAAGACAATAAACAAATATCTATGTCCGAACATAAAAGTACTAATCACTCTACTTCCTACAATGTTAGAACGTAAAAACAAGTTCCCAAAAACAAATATGGAGGATCAGAGGACAATATAAAATAATATACAACCTAAGTATCCGAGCACTCAAAACACAAAATAATATAAAGGCAAAACAAAATAGAAATATAAGCTAACAACCTGCATAATAAAACCAGAAAATAAAAACATAATAGCCAGTGTCCAACCATCATCATGGCAACATCAACCTAAGCAACCAACTGTTAGTGTGTATACTGAAAATTTGGCCTTTTGTTATGAACACTATTTCCATTTGAATGGTAATTATGTTTAACTAATGCTTCTACGTCCTATTGTTTTACAATTAGATAAATATGGCTCATCACAGGTGAACAAAAGATCATAAACATGTTGTAAAACATAAAGTTTGGTTCACAACCTAGATGGAACTGGACAAACCATCGTGAACGGTTGTAGTGTAATTTGGATATGTTGGTCTTGACAGTTGAATTACACTAGTACACTAAGAGTGTATTGAATGGATCCACGAAGGATACATATCTTTTATATTGATCAAATAAATAAACTAAACCTTGGTAATTATTGTGTACTCTTAAGTTGTAAGATAATAATAGACACATGCACTCGGTAGCTATATATTTGATTCACTAAAAAATGAGATTCATTCTGCTGGATCAATATTCCAAGTGAGTTGAAAAATGATGTTGTTGGCATGGTGTGTTGTTCAATTTTTTACGGTCATTGTTACTGATGCGTTAGTTTTATGATGTCCCCGAAATAAGTTCAAGAAAGATTATTATATCAAGCTCAGCTGGCAGATTTAGTTCTGACATAATAATAGAGAATTGTGGCCGGTTTTCGCCCTACTCTCAAGTGTCGGTCAGTGGGCTCAGGTCGTCGGCTCCCCTGGTTTGCGGTGGCATGGGCAGGGGTGTGATAACGTGGGCTGGACGTGGCTTGGGCTACTCGCGGCGGCTGCGTTAGGGTGGCTGGGGCTAAGGCACCGATCTC